CCTACAGAAGAACAGTTGGAAATATGAATGCCTATGCCTTGTAAACATGCGTTTTTCAAGTTACCAGTTGTGCCATCACATCGTAATCACAATACCCACACAATACATGTCAACTTTTGTTTTAATAGAAGTGTGAAGTTAAATCTTTGGGGCTCGCAGAAAATTGCTGTTCCAATGATTTTCTCAGCAGTAAAAGGTTTTTTTGCGGCTACTGACACAGAAACATCAGGAGACCTTAAGTGCCTGCTTCAACAGAGCAGAGCTGGCGTCTGAAGACCTGACCTGTGTCCCACTTTAGTGGGCTCATATCTGCAACTAATCCTGCTTACTTACAGAGTTCCTCCGGGGGTTTGAAACCAATTAGATGTGGTCTCTAAATCCCTGAAAGTTGAAAAAGGTCTTAATTTTATTTGGCAAGAAGCAGACCTCAGCTGAGTTAAAGATTAGCTCTGACTATCCTTGTTTATCAAACAGGACACAAAAATCAAGTTCATTTTCATAACAGGAAAAGAAAGTGAGCTTTATCATCCTGCCCCTCACACCCAAAATTATTTCATGCTAATAAGTTCCTAAGACTGTCTATGGAAGAAAAGATGATGAAGAAACATAGAATCCTCTCTCTGGACAGAGACTCTTTGACACCTCGATCATGCAGGTGCCAGCTGTCGTCTCAAGCGAATATAGGGTGAAGGAAAAGGGGGGGTGGGAGGTGTGAAGTCGTCTGCTCATGTTACGAAATGCAACACAAGCAAAGTTAATGCAGAGTACATAATACAGTTTTATAAACAGACCTGTGTTGTGAAACCAGATGTGTCAATGCCTTTTAAAGCAGGGCTTTCTGTGAGCTAGAAGGGGGCCAGGAGTCCCGAGGAAACTGAAGACTCTGAAGCATGTCCCACGGGCTGCTCTGAGGCATGGAAATGTCCAGCTTCAAATGTTTGTCCTGCGCTTCTATTTTTTCTATGAAACTTTTGAAATCTGGGATTTGTAGGTAAATGGTCATCCAGATATAAAAGGAAAGATTGCAAAGCTCTGGATACAGTGTACCATACAATACGTAAGTGCTCTAAGGGTGAAAAACAAACAGTGAATAAACTGTAGCTCCAACCTCAAGATTTCAGTTGAATAACTTTGTGGCATTATATGCAAAATATCTCCAGTAACTCGGGAATGTAATATGTTCAATGTTAAGGCTGTAGTTGATGTTGTGTCTTCAAAGCTGCTTTTATGTTTGGTTGTTTTTTTTAAGAGTTGTACATCTCAGCATTTTTACTGCTATTTAGTCATGGCACCTACACTTTGTATGAGCAAAGATGGAGTGAGCTTACATTTCAAATTTGAAATGACTTAATTTTATAGAAACATAGAAAGGAAATGTTTCTAAGAACAGAAAAATGTGAACTATGCTTGATTAAAGAAAAAGGAAAAATCCTACCATCAAACAAAAAGCACCTGCAGTGTTTTCAGAGTGCTTCTGTCAGAAGTGGGCATGCTCATGTAGGGTTTGTATGACAAATATATTTGAAATGAGAGGAACTAAATATTGTGGATTGAGTGTGGGCTTGGTTTTTTTTTTCAGCTTCCAAGCTGAATTTGTCTGCAGCCAATTGCACAACTGGAATTGGCTGGTATCGAGCTAATGTTTCATTTCACAATCTAGTCTTCGTTTCAATTTGTGCCCATATGCCCATTAAAGTTCATGAACTATTAGACCTCAAATTGTTTCAATATTGTTTATTTTGTTAAAGGTTTACATTGTCAAAAGTAGTAAAAGAGTAACTATCAATTCCAGTGCTGCTATACTACCAGGATAATTTGAATGGGTTTTATTTTTTAATACCTTCCAATGGCTAAAGTTTTTTAAAGCTGCTTTAGAAATAATATGAAGACAACACATGATACGCATTTAAATAAATACTGAGGATTTTGTGTTCTATTGTGTCTTCTCACTGGACTTCCCAGTGTGTTAGTTAATGCCAGGCAAAAAGAAGAGTCATGATGACTGTTGATGATTTTATTTTATTAAAGAGCTAATGGAGTTTTCCCATCCTGACTGCAGAATAGTACAGTATTGTGGCTGCATTAGCTATAATGGTAGTTGATAATACATTTATTAAGAAACATATTAGAAACATTGAATGTATATAAAAGCTTGAACTTCTTAAATAAAATCCTCTCCTCTCACTCCTGCATTTCTCTTGCAATAATTCCTGCCTTTCCTACTCTCCATTACACTTTCATGTAAGATTTTTTCTCCACACAATGCCTTATAGACTTCCATGCTCATAGACTATGCTTCAGTGAAAATCCATCCTCTGTCGCTATGTGTGTACAAACAGCTGACTAATCCCAGCATATCCAAGTTGTAAAAAGAAAAAAAAAAAATAATAATAGTAGTAAAAGAGGGACACTTCTGAAGTTGGTTAGGTGTGGAAGATCAGAGGACAACAAAGGACAATGTTAAGAAGTGGAAAGAAACAGAGAGATCACTGAAATATCTCCTTGGTCAAAAATAATTGTTACCTGGAATTTGTTTATGTTTCATCCTTTCCATTGAAAAATAAAGATAGAAGGACAGAGTAAAAGCTTATAGAGACCCCCACAATTATTCTTCACTATAGAACTTTATTAATGCTGAAGGCAGGATTTTGCAGAACAGCAAATCCATAGGCATTGAAGAGAAATATCTGATTTTGCTGTATTCGGTTTAGGTGTCATCAATTCTTTTTCTCTCCAGAAATTAATGAAGAAAAAATGTTTAGCTTTGGAAAAGATAATCTGTAAGATCATCTAAGATCTGTTATAGATCAGTAACTTTGGAACAGATGGAAAAACAAGAAAAAGTTCTGCAAGTTAAGTATTCTGAAATAAGAGCTTTTCTTAATAGAAGGCTTTTCTTAATAGGAAAAGCACTGGATCCACCAAAGGAGTAATGGGGCTGTCAAGGTAACAGAGCACACACAGATAAGGAAGGGAGGTGGAAGATATGGAGAATGACATTGGTATGTAAGAAAGAAAATCTTTAGTTTCATATGATGCAGGATTTCATCCAAGATGGTCTGAAAAGAACTTCTAACTACTAGCAGCTACAAATGTGTGCACTATATGGCTACAATTACTAAAAATTTCCAATTACAAAATTATTTGCAAATCATCATAAAATTCTCTAGTCTATAAAAGTTCATCAACTTGCTGTTGTGATGGGGGATTACATAGCCTGAGTAGGTTTGCATTAATAAGGAACAGTTATGAAAAGAAAACATTTCTCTGAAACTAGATGTGCAAAGGCAACACAAAGGTGATGCAGTTCAAGGAACACGGTCCCAGTACCCTCAATCCTTGCATGCACACAGTCTCCCCAGCTGAGGCAGTGAGAGTCTGGGCTGCATGCTTTGTCCCTGAAGCATGACACTCTGCTTAGCTGTGCACCTGCACTCCACAAACTTAGAGGTCCTATTGATTAAAAGTATAGTGAAGTAGCATGTTTAAAGCCCTTCTTCATTTTTGTTTCTCTATCTCTGAACAAACTAGCAAAAATGATTCATTTGTATTATGAGTTTATGGCTCAGTTTTGTATGAAAAATTATACATCTATTGGTATATGAGTATAAAAATTCTTTCTCATTGCAAACGCCCAGCTTTGTTTTTCATTCCTCTCTCTCTTTCCAACAAGGCTAAATACAAGGATGATAAAAGAGCTAATTTAATCTGTATTCAGTTTAAGTCACACTTCTATACTAAATTAATGCAGCTTCATCACACAATAAAATTATTTTCAAAAAGTAATACAGCATTAAGAGTTCCACACAAAAACTGTATATTTTTATAATTTAAATAGCGCATTTTTTTTCTTTTTCTTCTGAATATTTGAATTTTAATTATCACCAGCATAAATGTACATAAGCAGATATTGTTTATCCAGTACCTTTGGACGATGTATGTATGGTAATGTAGTTTGTCAGTTTATCATCATTTAATATGATTATGTTGTTCTTTGTCTTTAAAATGTTATAAGAACATGCTGCCATTAAACTTTCCATGTCTGTCTAGTTAATATTGTGAAAAAATAATAAAAGCACACTGTGAGAGACTTGCTTTGCATTTGCATTGTTTAGGATTTGCTGATGGAAAACTACTCAAACAGACTGACTGTAATCCCATAAATGAAATATGCTCTGAGCAATAGTGACCAGTATTCTTCTAAGCCCTCAGTGCATCAAGATGCAATAACCCAGGTTTGTTTAGGTGCTGCTGTGTGAAATACAGTCCTGTGCTTTGGGACCCAAGGACAGTGTCACTCTTTATGCTGTCCCATACATTTGATGTCTTGTGGAAAGAGCAGCAAGGCTCTTCTATTTGTTTGCTAAAACTGTTTTTCATTTGTGTAGACAAGAACTGGAAATGCACCTCAGCAAGTTTCAACAGGAGCAAAAGAAGTATTTTTGTTACTGCTGAAGGTTTCCTACAGTTATGACTGCTTTCCAGCAAGCATTTAGGTATTTTGCTTCTTAAAGGCTTGAGTTAGATGGCCCTCGAATCACAGTTGTTGCCCCTTACCTTCTGTGGCTTTAATTCAGGTAGAACATAGCAAAATGAGCTCAGGCAATGAGTATTTATTTAACTGCCCTGAATTTACCCAGCTTCTTGAGTGGACAATTCAGACACGTGTAAAACATCTACCCACCTGTCTGTGTCCATGAAGACAGAGAAGGTGGAGGAAGTCAGGCTGAAACTGAAAGAAGAAGCAACAGCAACAGAAGGCAATGAATAGACTCTGGGCTCTGGTATTTAAGTGACCAGCACAGAGCAAGGTCACTAAATCCTTTGCAAGGCAGAAGGTAAACCACTTTACAGTACTTCAACTACTACCATTTCTCTCTCCCATTATTTTGTGAGACTGAAAAAAGACAAGTACTTGGAGGGGAAACCAGCCCCAGCACTGCCTTTTTTCCTAGCTAAAACCTAACAAGGGAAGATGGGA